CGATATTTCAACGGTCGATTCTGGAAGAACGGTTGCAGTTATCGAAGAAACGATGCCGGAAGTGAGTTCCTGAGCTCGAAATCTACAAGAAAATATGTTTGGTTAAGTTTCGAAAATGTCAAAATTTGGCCGAAATTTGAAGAAGGGGGGACCATTGAAAAAATTTCACTTTTAAAAAAGTTGTCTAAAAATTGCGAACAAAATCAGGGACGTAGATCACGACATGCTGATTCCAAAAATATAGCGTGTTGATGGTCACGGAGCAACATTTTCGAAAGAATCGGTGCGAAATGCGAATTTTTGAAAATTTCTAAAAATTTCGATATTTCAACGGTCGATTCCAGAAAAACGGTTGCTGTTTTCAAAGAAACGGGGCCGGAAGTGAGTTCTAGAGCTCGACATCTACAAGAAAGTGTATTCACTTTAGTTTCGAAAATGTCAAAAATTGGCCGAAATTTTTAGAAGGGGGGACCATTGAAAAAATTTCGCTTTTAAAAAAGTCGTCTAAAAATTGCGAAAAAATTCAGGAACGTAGATCTCGACATGCTGATTCCAAAAAATTTAGCGTGTTGAAGGTTACGGAGCAATATTTTCGAAATAATTGGTACGAAATGCGAATTTTTGAACATTTCTAAAAATTTCGATATTTCACCGGTCGATTCCGGAAGAACGGTTACAGTTATCAAAGAAACGACGCCGGAAGTGAGTTCTAGAGCTCGAAATCAACAAGAAAATGTGTTTAGTTAAGTTTCGAAAATGTCGAAAATTGGCCGAAATTTTTAGAAGGGGGACCATGAAAAAATTTCACTTTTAGAAAAGTTGTCTAAAAATTGCGAAAAAATTCAGGGACGTAGATCTGGACATGCTGATTCCAAAAATATAGCATGTTGATGGTTACGGAGCAAAATTTACGAAAGAATCGGTGCGAAATGCGAATTTTTGAAAATTTCTAAAAATTTCGATATTTCAACGGTCGATTCTGGAAGAACGGTTCCATTTATCCAAGAAACGAGGCCGGAAGTGAGTTCTAGAGCTCGAAATCTACAAGAAAATGTGTTTGGTTAAGTTTCGAAAATGTCAAAATTTGGCCGAAATTTTTAGAAAAGGGGGGACCATTGAAAAAATTTCACTTTTAAAAAAGTCGTCTAAAAATTGCGAAAAAATTCAGGAACGTAGATCTCGACATGCTGATTCCAAAAAATTTAGCGTGTTGAAGGTTACGGAGCAATATTTTCGAAATAATTGGTACGAAATGCGAATTTTTGAACATTTCTAAAAATTTCGATATTTCACCGGTCGATTCCGGAAGAACGGTTACAGTTATCAAAGAAACGACGCCGGAAGTGAGTTCTAGAGCTCGAAATCTACAAGAAAATGTATTTAGTTAAGTTTCGAAAATGTCAAAAATTGGCCGAAATTTGAAGAAGGGAAAAAATTGAAAAAATTCCACTTTTAAAAAAGTTGTCTAAAAATTGCGAAAAAATTCAGGGACGTAGATCTCGACATGCTGATTCCAAAAATATAGCGTGTTGATGGTTACGGAGCAAAATTTACGAAAGAATCGGTGCGAAATGCGAATTTTTGAAAATTTCTAAAAATTTCGATATTTCAACGGTCGATTCCGGAAAAACGGTTGCAGTTATTAAAGAAATTAGGCCGGAAGTGAGTTCTAGAGCTCGAAATCGACAAGAAAATGTATTTAGTTGAATTTCGAAAATGTCAAAAATTGGCCGACATTTTTAGAAGGGGGGACCATTGAAAAAATTTCGCTTTTAAAAAAGTTGTCTAAAAATTGCGAAAAAATTCAGGGACGTATATCTCGAAATGCTGATTCCAGAAATATAGCGAGTTGATGGTTACGGAGCAACATTTTCGAAAGAATCGGTACAAAATACGAATTTTTGACAATATCTAAAAATTTCGTTATTTCAACGGTCGATTCTGGAAGAACGGTTGCAATTATCGAAGAAACGAGGCCGGAAGTGAGTTCTAGAACTCGAAATCTACAAGAAAATGTGTTTAGTTAAGGTTCGAAAATGTCAAAAATTGGTCGAAATTTTTAGAAGGGGGGACCATTGAAAAAATTTCACTTTTAAAAAAGTTGTCTAAAAATTGCGAAAAAATTCAGGGACGTATATCTCGAAATGCTGATTCCAGAAATATAGCGAGTTGATGGTTACGGAGCAACATTTTCGAAAGAATCGGTACAAAATACGAATTTTTAACAATATCTAAAAATTTCGTTATTTCAACGGTCGATTCTGGAAGAACGGTTGCAATTATCGAAGAAACGAGGCCGGAAGTGAGTTCTAGAACTCGAAATCTACAAGAAAATGTGTTTAGTTAAGGTTCGAAAATGTCAAAAATTGGCCGAAATTTTTAGAAGGGGGGACCATTGAAAAAGTTTCACTTTTAAAAAAGTTGTCTAAAAATTGTGAAAAAATTCAGGGACGTAGATCTCGACATGCTCATTCCAAGCATAGCATGTTGATGGTCACGGAGCAACATTTTCGAAAGAATCGGTACGAAATGCAAATTTTTGAAAATTTCTAAAAATTTCGATATTTCAATGGACGATTCCGGAAAAAAGTTATCGAAGAAATGAAGCAATAAGTGACTTCTGCGACCCAAAATCTACAAGAGAATATCTTTAGTTAAATTTCGAAAATCGTCGAGAATGGGTCGAAACAAATCGCTAATCCGAACACACTTTTTCCACAATTAATTCGGATTATCGAGGTTCTACTGCACTATAATAAAACAAATTACGATTAGTGCTTTTTTTACTTTTTCCACATCCCGGATTCTATTATAAGTTGCCACTCCGTATCGACAGAATAACATAATTAGCGCCGCCCACCCACCCGATTTCTAATTTTTTTCTTCTGAAATAAGAAATAAATCTTACAGCATTTTTTTTTTCAGTTTTCAATAGTCTACGTTCTATTAGTTCCCATTCCCACTCTACAAAAGAACATATAATTAAAACCCGCCCACCCACCCTGCCTCCATTTCATTGATTCATTTTTTCTAGTCTGAATGAAAGGTGGATCTTATATTGAACAGAAATAAAATCGTTAGAGTGAGAACAGCGCGAGTGGGCGGGGCTAGTACCTGCTAAGATAAGATTGATCGTGACAAACGACATACCATCTAAGAAAATAGAGGGCGGGTGGGCGGGGCTAGTACTTGTTAAGATAAGATTGATTTTGGTCAATGACATTTCCTCTACGAAAAAAAAAAACGGGTGGGTGGGCGGGGCTAAAACTTGCTAAGATGAGACTGAACAATATTAAAAGTAGTCACTGGATTGAAGAAGAGGTGGGTGGGCGGGGCTACTGCTTGTTCATAAAACTAGAAATAAGTAAATTTTGCCCCGCCCACCAGTTTTCTTCATTTCACTGACTTATTTTATTTAGTGTAGTGTAATTTAGTAAAATGGAAATTGAAAAATAACAGTATTGTATTCCCAAAATTTTCTTGGAAAATGGAGTGAGCCGTTCCTGATTTAATCAATAAAATAAACTGGCCCATTCATTAATTTTTCGGCCTAGTACTTTCGGAGATTATCTGTCAAATAAAAATCAGGACAGCAGTCAGACAAACAGACGGAAACGAGAGACCTATTTCTTCGTACTTTAGAGGTTACGAAATGTCGAGAAAACCATCTAACAGTAACAAAAAATAGGTAAGTTCTCCGATTACATCGTGGACCGAATTCCCACATCACATAACAAAACATGAAATAGACGCGACAAATGCATATTAAATACGGCCGAGTCCATAATAAGATGGTTTTGGTACACACGTCGCCGTGAGAGGAGTGTTTACAAATAAATGTTCAAATTTTCAAACATAAAACACAAATGGTGACACGATATAAGCGTAAAATACCCCTTCCCGCTCCGAACCCACACTGAAATTAATTTAATTTAACTAACAATAACTTTCCAAGTTCTTCCTCTCAAAATAGATCAATGTTTAAATTAAATTTTGAACACAGCACTAGTTGAAGATCTCGTATGAGCAGTTATGAAACGTAAACAACAACTTAGGGAAAACCATCAAGCCATTTAGATATATCACAGCTAAAATAGTTGAACCCGAATAAATAATTGATTACCGTTTACAACATCAAATTTGCCTCAACCCCCTAAATATCCTTCACTGAAGTTTTGAAAAAACCATACGTGCTATGAAAATTCTAAAAGCAGACTCGTAACCACCACACCAAATTAATTAGCCCCGTTTGTTTCAATTTTTGTTGATTAAATATGCTTCTGCACACCACTCTTGCCCCTAAAATTCATACAATTGATGATTTTTTTGTTAGTTTTTGTTGCCTCAGAACGGTTCACAAACGTAATTTTCGCTTTATATTAACATTTCGCACGCTTTTCACTTTGACAACGAACCGATTGCTTGTAAGTCAGGTGCGTTTTCGTTTCGTTTGCACCAATTTGTAAATAATCGTGTTGTGGGCGAGCGTTCCCACGTAGCGGAATAATTATCACCAATTTGTGGAATTTGAATTTAAATTTTTCATTGCGAGCCACCGCGAATAAAGGCTTTGTTTCGCGATGTTTGCACGTGCAGCAGAAATGTGAAAAATTACAGCTGAGTTTTTTACAGCGGCATAATTCGTAAACGGGGCTTTTTGTGACATGGAATCCTCGAACTTGTGTCGAGATGGTCGGAATAAATTTCTAAAGCGCGCGGGGGATGAGTCGTGCACGCGTATTCACAAATTAAAGTTTAAGTTTCGTGCGTGACGTAGTACGTAAATAACAACTTAGGGAAAACCATCCGTCTATCGTACATTTCGGAACCGTCATCCCGCTTTCCAGTCTTCAAAGCAACACGAGACAACGCGTCCAGTAAATAAAACGCATCCCGGAACGTATTGGACGTCGTAATCGAATTTCAGCAACCTTTGTACACAATCCGGCGATTTGTTGATCCCCCGATTTAAGAATTACCACCAATCTTGTCGATTTCAGTGCCTCCTAGTCTCCAGATCTACCCCAACAACGGCGAAGTCTTCACCACCCGCAAGGGCGCCCCCGTGTCATTCGAATGCAGAGCGAGCGGCAACCCATTACCGGTGGTCCAGTGGTCGAAAAAGGTAAGCGTCCCGATTCGAACCCAATTAGCATCCAAATGGCATCGTTTCAGGAAGGTGTACTCCCATCCGGATTACAAGTACAAACAGGTTACCTATTGTCGTTACCGAGCGTCCAGCGACAGGACGCAGGCGAATACCAATGCACGGCTTCCAACGGAATCGGGCAACCCGTGACCGGGGACGTCAAACTCCACGTTCTCTGTAAGAGCAAACAGATATAATATACAGATGTGACGTTTTTTCGTGGAGAAAACATGTTTTATGTGTTTGCAGATCCTCCGGAAATAAGCGTGGCGAAGTCCTGGGTCAACGCGGGGGAGGGGCTCGAGGCGAGGCTGGATTGCATCGTTCACGCCGATCCACCTGGAGAAGTAAGAGGGATTTTTGATGTACAGGAGTAATGAAGCGGTCATTAAGAGGTCGTTTGGGTTTTTAGTGGGAATGTTACTAAAATTTAAAAGTTAGCGTGCTTAAAATGCTTGAAAGCGGCGAAGTGATCTTTAAAAAGGGGAAATATGGTATTATAGTGGTTTATGGGGTGTAAAATAGCGACTTACTTTATCTGTTTTATGATTGGTTTGAAGCAAGGGGGCGTGGCGTGACGTAAGAAATGTGTCGAACCTACTAGATGCATTAACGAACACTAGTCAAACAGCTCATTTATAACTAGTTGTTTTGCAAACTAGGATATAAATCCAATAACCAACTTTGATTAATTTGATTAGTAGGGTATCAGTTTTCAATCAAACCCAGCGCTCAGTCGCAGTCACTTTATATAAATTTTATTGATTATTGGTTACAGGATTACAATTAGTGCACATTATTGTTAACATCGGTTTTAGGTTTTATGGTACCAAAACTCTTTCCCTCTGCAACAAACCGACCGCCGGATAATGTCAAGCAAGGGCAAAACTCACGCTTTAACCATCAAAAACGTCCAGTTTTCCGACTTCGGCAACTACAGTTGCACGGTTATCAACTCAATCGGACGGGACAGAAAATATATAGAACTATCGGGAAAGCCCGGTCCTGCACGCATCCTCAGCCCCAACTACTCCAGCGCCCATTATTACGACCTACGATGGGTCGTACAATCCGTTTTGCCCATCATGGAAGCAAAAATACTCTACAGACGGGTAATTACACCCACGTGATTAATCGGACCAGCATCTGCGTTAAACACTCTACTCTTAATTTTATTATTTTTAGATCAACGCAACCACGATTTATGACCACAAAGGACAATGGCACGATCTAGTCGTCAAACCAAGTCAGAAATACGACCCGAAGACCGGTGAAAGGGTTCAGTCTTTCCGAATTACCAACCTGACGCCCGAATCCTTGTACGAATGCCTCATTTTGACCAAAAATCAACACGGGTACAGCGAAGTGTCAAGTTTGCACCAATGGTTCAGTTCGGACAAGGGCCGACCATTGGTCGAATCGATGGGACACAACGTCGCCGGGTTAAGTTTAAGCACACTTATGTTCATACAAGCTGTCATTTTGTTGTCATTTTAAGTGACGGTTTTATTTGTTTGTGGAAATTTGTATTGTGTAAATAATTTTTCACAGTCAGGGTAGAACAGAGTATGTAGAATGTATTATTAATAAAGTTTTTACAAATTATTCGTCGTTCACTCTCGATTAAGTGTTTTCAAAAGTATGCAACCCAACATACACAGTTGGACAGATAGGCAACCACCAATACTTCACTCCCTCCAATTTATTGTACTCCAGACCACTCCAGACACTGCATTAGAACAGCAATGTTAATTTTAATTAATAAAAACAAAATCGTGCCCAAAAAATAACCCCAATTGTGTTATGGAAGGTAGTTCCAGTGCAAACGACCCAAAACCTAAAAAACCGACCAAACAACCCCGCGCCCCCAGCAAAGATCACGTTTTGCGCAAACGCCGTCCCCAGAAGCCCGAGCGCGACGCCTCCGTGGTCTACGTCAACACCAAAACCCCCATCAAGGTAAATCCGCCGCAACCCCTAAATCCAACTTTGAGGTTATGTCGTTCGTTTCAGGCGGTCGTCGACCGTTGCTGTAAACTGATCAACAAAGGTGAAAAGGAGCTCACTCTGTACTGCCTGGGGGCCGCCATCCAGCGCGGAATCCTCATCGCTTTGAGGTTATGTGAACAAAATGTGGCTTACAAAATCCACTCCAACACGTTCACGACCGAACTGATAGGTAACTGGAGCCCCCGTTTTGCTCGTCTACATTGTGTTTTTCAGACGACTTGGAGCCCGCCACGGACGATGCTGACTACACCATCCAGCGCAGGTCCAACTCGGCTTTGAAAATCCGCGTCTTCCGCAGCGACCCCCTCAAACCGTAGCCATGTTTTTCACGATTGACGAGCTCGTGCGGTGGTTGGGGCTCACCGTGTTCGAGATTTGGGTGAACCTGATTTCGTTTCTGATTTTCACGGTGATGTTGGCGGTGAAGTATGACCCTTACGTTGACGTGGATAAGAACGGTTGGTGGGCGATTTTTTTCCCGTTGTTTGCGGGGGACGCCCTCAATGCGTACTTTTGCGTTATTATTTTTATTAGGATGTTGTCGGAGATGACGCTGCGGGCGTCTCTGTTGCGGATTAGTTGGTCCGGGACTTTTTTGTTAATGACGTTTTTATTTAAGTTTTTGTTGTGCCAGAAGTTGCTGAATAAGTTGGGCTTGGATTACTCGGAGGTGTTTGCGCCGCTTTATATTTTGTTGCAGTTGATTGCGGTGAGGGCGTGCCAACAAAGTTAATTGTGTTATATTAATAGACTTTTGCTAGTATTAAAGTATTTTGTGTATATTAAAAAAAATCTTTATAAAACATACGCCTTATTATAATTTAATCAAGTCACGTACATGTTACAGAATCATTTAAATGCAACGGTATCTAACATAGCTCCTAAACACTGGACAATATTGTTGGTCATGAGGAGATCCACTTTTTCCTCGAGGTGTCTCTTCGGGTCTTGCTTACCCACGTTCTTAATGGCCAACTGTTCGGGTGTCATCTTCTCTTCCTCTTCCAACGCTTTGTTGTAGTTTTTCGCCAACTCCAACACATCAGCGACCGTTTTTTCGTTAATCCCGCAATTGTCTCTATAGTCGGCTAGCGTTAACCCATCCATCCACGATTTTTTGTGCAAATTAAGTAACATTTTCTGCTCCAATTCGTTCTTACGATAATTTATACTAATAGAGTAGTAGTGTCTATTCAACCCGTGAATCAAAGCTTGTACGGAGGGTTTTTGTAAGTGCCCCAAATTCGACGTCGTCTGGCGAGGCTCCTGCCCCAAAACCATCATATTTGGGTTAATTAACCTATAAACCAACCGTCACTCTGGCGAAAAACCAATCCAAAACGTACCTAAACGCATCAATAACCACCTTCCCCTTGACAGACTGAATGGGATCGACCACCACTGCCACCGCCCGCTCTGAAAGCGCCTCAAAACTCTGCTGCGTGTTAATATCCACCCCTGATAACCAGCACCCAAAACCCGGATGCGAATGGTACCAACCCACTACCATCTCAGGCCGCCCGGTCTGCCTCAACATATCCAACATTTTTGCTTGAAAAACGGGGTCCACAGCCTCCACGCTGACTCCAGTTCCGGTTTGGGGCATCGCGAACACGTCGATCACCCTCACGGTATAATCATCAACGAATTCGCCTACATTTCAGTTATAATAAAGTGCCAAGTCATAACATAACCTCACCTAACATGAGCCCCATCACTTCCATGGGAACGCCGGCCCGCCCGTGCTTTAACATTTTCAGAAGGGCTAGCGATGAAATGTAGACTTGCTCGGCGGTGTCCACCACGGGGGCGTCGGACGGAGGGGGCGCCTGAGACAAGCCCGGCATCCCGCCACCCAAACGCAACAAACGATCCATTTTCACACCTAATGATACGATAATAACTAATCACTCAAAATTAATACGTCCTTACCTTAATAAAGCTCGACTGAAACACAACGAGTCGCTTTTGGCTTTGTTTTCGTTGACTAAAATCTTGGCATTGACATCTGAAAACTGTCAAAATGGAATGTGCAATTCATGACGTTTTGGTTTCGGGTGGGTAAAGTAGAGTTCTGTACGATGGCGGCGAAGCAGCAAAAGAATATTTTAAAGGAGAAATACGGAAGTGGCCCCCATGGATTAGGTACAAGTGGTTAACATTGTCTATAATTCGCCCGACTTATGTAACCTTATCTTCGCATAAAAACGACATAACCTCATTTTCCAAAAGTGAGGTTATGTTAAATTCACGAAATTGGTACTTATTAAGTGTGCGGTTGTAGGTGACCCCGAAGACACCTCGCTGCGACGAGTCGAAATCGACGTCATGATCCCCAAGAAAATGCGCGAGATCGCACGCGACGAAAAGTGCAAAGACTACGTCGAGAAATTCACTGAGTGTTGTAAAAACAGCAACGTTTTGATGATTTTTAAATGTCGAGCGGAGAACGCGGCGCTCAAAGACTGTCTGACGCGGTGGTACGAAGACGAAGGTTTTAAAAATAGGTGCAAGAACGAGTATCTTAAAGAGAGGAGTGAATACAGGAGAACTGGGGTGACTCAAAAACAGAAAGAACGTTTGGGAGTTTCTATGTAAATATATGTACAAAGTAGTTTTGCGTAATTAAAATTAAGTTTGTTTACTGGTTGTCGCTTGTGGTTTTTTTAGAGAGAAAATCCAGCGTTTCATTATGGTTTCTTTGATGGTGAAGTTTGACAAGTCTTGAAAATGAACCTGGTTGGGTTGTGTTTGTGGCCAAATTATTTCACAGATTAGTAGTTCCTGAAGTTCAAAATTTAGTAAATGGGGGTAAATTCGGGGGTTTTACCTTGGCTGCAGTCTCACACAGGCGGTTTAACCCCATCAAACACAAATTATTCATAGAGCGCCTGCTCAAACGTTCAATTTTGTCCAAGTTTTCGTCAACGACGTGGATAATGACGACGTAAGAAGCGTGATAAAACGGGGGCCCTTGTTTGTATAACACTGTAACAAAAATTTTTGACTTTTGTGGGTCAAAATTTACTAAAACTTACAGAAGTCACCACCGAATTTAATTCCAGGCTTGACAACCCAGTTTTTCGTTCTAAAATGGTAATAAACGATGTAGTTAATCACAAACCACTTGTCGCTTTGTTGGAATAGCCCCCACGCTTCTTCGAGCCCCAAAATTTTACCGTCGTGACGTATGTCGAGACAGTTTAGGGCTGCAGCCAGAAAAAACGCCTCTTCTAACCCCAAATTAACCGTTTCTGCGATTCCTGAGCAATCAAGCTGATACTCTGGTTTCAAATTAGTAAAATAGTCTGCAATGTCTTCAGATTCTGAGTCGCTGTCTGGAACAACAATAACTTTCTGGGGGGCGCATTTTGCCCCTTCGGCGTTGCGTTTGCGGTTTTGGAAGACGCGATTTCTGACGATTTCGGGCGATTTTTTTCGAAATTCTGGATAATTTCTTGAGAGAGAAGCCTTCCCAAAGTACCCCATTGAAATAATTTTTTTCATGTCGTCGACATTGTCTATTACGACGCAGAACCCGTTAAAGCTGCCCTTGAATCGATACAACTCGCCTTTGTTTTCGATTAGGGGTAGATTTTGGGCGGGTTTCAGCCTGCAGTGTTTCTTGGGTCGGGGTTTCGCTAGCGCCATTTTAAAATCGCGCGGTTTTATGACAGAGCGGCCAACCTAATCGCGCGTGCTATCTCCCTCTCGCTCGCCGCTTGTCGCCATCTTGGGGGTCCGTCAGGTTGGCACCGTGTGTCAATAATCACAAGACTTGTCAGCTGAATTGTTAAAAACACGGGCAGGTCAAAGTGGTGTTTTTCGTAAGATAGAGATTGTTTGTGCAAAAATGTCGTCGTCGCAGGTCCCCGCGGGCGCAGACCCTAAAATCAAAGACATAATCACATCTTTAGACGATGAAAAAATAGGTAAAAGTTACTCTTGCATACCCAAGTCCGGGAAAAGTTTGGTCAAAAAATTCCTCCGAAACGCGAAACTCGCACCCAATCCCCGAAAAAAACACAAATCCGGGCGAATTTCATTGAAAATAGTCCCGAAAAAGCGATTAATTAATTCAAAATAGGTGTGTTACGCTCACGTGACGTCTACGATGAGTGTACCAGTGGCACTAAAAATTTTTTCGTGCGACTTCATTTTGGCGAGAAATCGGATTTTTTGGCTAAATTCCCAGGGTTTATTAAATTATAAGCGGAATGTGGGCTATTTCAGATATGTTGGCCGCTACGAGTGTGCTGCAGCAACGGGCGACGGACATCCGTTCGCAAAGGGTGAACTGGCAGTCGTACTTCCAGTAAGTTAGCTCCTTTCAAGTAACGTAGTAGACACTCATGAGCTGTGTACGCAAAATTTGTCTCGAGACGCTGTTAACCTCACATTGCAGGTCGCAGATGATCTCGCAGGAAGACCACCAGTTCATCACAGCTTTCGACACCTCGGATGGCCACAAACGCGAGCAGTTGCTGCAGACCGACCGCATGCAATGTGCGCAGACGTTCCTCAATCTCTTGGGGCACGTCTCCAAAGACCAGACTTTGCAGTACATTCTGGTCCTGATTGATGATATGCTCCAGGTAGGTTAGGTTCATGGTTGATTAAGGAGTGTAAGTTTAGTAATTTTGTGATTAGGAGGATCGCACCCGCGTGGAGATTTTCCACGAGTACGCCAACAAGAAAAAGGAGTCGGTCTGGGGGCCCTTTTTGAACTTGTTGAACCGCCAGGACGGCTTCATCACCAACATGACGTCCAGAATCATCGCTAAAATCGCGTGTTGGTCGCAAACCCCCATGGAACGGTCAGATTTGCACTTTTATTTGACCTGGTTGAAAGACCAACTGAAGATGCAGGTATGAAGTGTGACATTTGCGGCTTGAGCTTGCGTTAATTTAGTTCGTGTGTTTACTAATCAATGTGTGTTTTGGATTCACTATCTTTTTCTTTGTGTGTGTATATTTTTGGTTACATTGAAAGTACTAATGATTTCTGGTTCATTGAAGACATGTTTGTCTTATAAAATCACTAACCGTAGAACGGCTTTCTTTTGCCAGAAAGCGAGATACTTAAGTCGTTTTTAGTATGACGAATTAGCTGCGACTATGGCACAAAACGACGTACTGAGGGGAGAACAAGCCACTGAAAGTTATACTGAGGTTGCTTTCAGCATCGATGAGCAACAAACACCTAACGAAATTACGGTAACGGAAACACGTCATCACACATCAATAGCACATCTCATACATAATTGACTAAATCAACAACAAATTAGATAAATAAATATATGCATTTTTGGTAGGGTGTCACTGCAACAGCGCCTTCTGTGTGTGTGGTTTAAGTTGAGAAAGGGTGTTGCATGACGTCGAAATTGTTGCACGATTTTTACTAATGAAGCATGGTCATTTTGACTTACTAACAGTTTTGTGGTTGTAGATTTTGAGTAAGTATTATTTATCCACGATTTGTTTGCTTTATTGTGTTTAGGGATTACGGGAACCCACAGTGAGGAGGCAGAGCAGTCTAATACCTCGCTGTTTATAAAAATATATTCATAGAAAGAATACGTACCTACCAACGGACAAGTTTTGACTTTGATTCACAATCTGTAAAAAAAAAAACAAATTTTAGTTAGAACGACACGTTAGGAAGAGGAAAATATTAAATATTTATTTAATAGCCGATTTTAATTGGCCATGATGTACTATCGCACGCAATGGTGTTTTTTATCAACCTGACTTTCGATTTTTTGCTTTCTCGTTTTTTGATTTTCCGGTTTTTCAATTTTTCGGAATTAATTTTTCACTTTTCTCAATTTTTCGATTATTCGACTTTCCTATTTTTCGACGTTTTAGTCACGGGGTTTATGTATTTAAATTTACGGATTTTTCAATTTTTGGCGTTTCTAAATTTTTGGATTTTTCGTTTTCTCAATTTTTCAATTAATCTATTTTTAAATTTTTAGATTTTTCGACTTTGTTTTATTTTATTTTTTACTTACTTGAAGTTTCAATTTTTCGGTTTACCGGTTTTTTAATTTAAAATTTTTTAATTATGAATTTTCCCATTTTTCGATTTTTAGCCACTTCCATTTCTCAATTTTTCAGTTTTTTGATAATTCTTCCAATTTTTCAACGTTTCAGTTTTTGAATTTAGGTGTTTAAATTTTTTGGATTTTTCAATTTTTCCATTTTTGACGCGTCTAAATTTTTCAATTTCTCAATTTTTTAATTTTGGATTTTTCGATTTTTCATCTTTCCGATTTCTCAAATTTTCGATGTTTAAGTTTTGGGTTTTTTCAATTTTGGGATTTTTAAATATGTATTTTGATTTTTATATTTTTCGACTTTCAATTTTTTTTTACTTATTCGATTTGTTGATATTTTGATTGCTCCATATTTTAAATTTTCAATTTTTATTATTTTAAATTTTAGATTTTTCACTCTTTTGATTTTCCGATTCTCAATTTTTCGATTTCCATTTCTCGATTTCTCAGTCTTTCGATTATTCGAGTTTAAAGTTTTATGAAGTTTTTTTTTCAATTTCTCTTTAGTTTTTTGATTGGGAAATTTTCAAGTTTTCATTATGCAATTTTTCGTTTCCGTTAATTTTCATTATTTTTTCAAATATTCGATTTTTTGTGTTTGGAATTTGTATCTTTTTGTTTTTTGAATTTCCATTTCTCCAATTTTTCGATTGGGAAATTTATCAATTTTCATTTTTTTTTTTGTTTCTTCCATTAGCAATTTTTCCACTTAAAATTTCTCGAGTTTTCAATTTTTAATTTTAAAACTGAAAAAATCGAAATTGAAAAAATAAAACTTTATAAAATCCCAACATCGAAAACACGAAAACCTGTAAAAGAATAAAGAAAATTAAAAAACGAATCGATTTTTTCATTTTTCGACTTTCCATCTGTCTGATTTCTGGATTTCTGAATTTTTCTATTTCTCAAACTTTCAATGTTTAAGTTTCGAGATTTTTCAAGATGTATTTCGATTTTTAAATTTTTAGATTTTTCGATTTGTTGATGTTTCGATTTCGCGATTTTTCAATTTTTCGATTTCGATTTTCCAATTTTTGGCGTTTATAAAGTTTTGGATTTTTCGTTTTTTCGATTTTTCAATTTTTCAAATTTTCAATTTTAAGTTTGCCGATTTTTCAATATGAAAAAATTTAAATTTTTAGATTTTTCGACTTTGTTTTTTTTATTTTTTACTTGAAGTTTCGATTTCTCACTTTGTCGGTTATCCGTTTCTTTAATTTAAAATTTTTTAATTATGAATTTTCCCGTTTTTCGATTTTTAGCCACTTCCATTTCTCAATTTTTTTAATTTTAAGCCACTTCCATTTCTCAATTTTTCAATTTTTTGAAAATTCATTTTTTCGATTTTCCATTTTTCCAACGTTTCAGTTTTTCAATTTAGGTGTTTAAATTGTTTGGATTTTTCAATTTTTCCATTTTTGACGCGTCTAAATTTTTCGATTTCTCAATTTTTCAATGTTTAAGTTTTGGGTTTTTTCAATTTTGGGATTTTTCAATATGTATTTTGATTTTTAAATTTTTAGATTTTTCGACTGTTTTTTTTTTATTTTTACCTATTCGATTTTTCGATTTGTTGATATTTTGATTGCTCGATATTTTCAATTTTTAGTATTTTTAAATTTTAGATTTTTCACTCTTTTGATTTTCCGATTCTCAATTTTTAGATTTCCCTTCCAATACTACATTTTTCAGTTTTTCGATTATTCAAGTTTGCAGTTTTATGAAGTTTTTTTTTCAATTTCGATTTCCTTAATTTTTCAATTTGGAATTTTTCAAATTTTCATTTTCTTGTTCCTTCAAGTTCATTTTTAAACTTTTCTATTTTTCAATTTTTCATTATACAATTTTTCGTTTCCGTTAATTTTCTTAATTTTTTTAAATATTCGATTTTTCTGTTTTAGAATTTGTCTCTTTTTGTTTTTTGAATTTTCATTTCTCCAATTTTTCGATTGGGAAATTTTTCAATTGGGAAATTTTTCAATTTTCATTTTTTTTTTTTGTATCTTACATTAGCAATTTTGCCACTTAAAATTTCTCCAGTTTTCAATTTTTAATTTTAAAACTGAAAAAATCGAAATTGAAAAAACAAAACTTTATAAAATTCAAACATCGAAAACTCGAAAACGTGTAAAAGAATAAAGAAAATTAAAAAACGAATCGATTTTTTCATTTTTCGACTTTCCATCTGTCTGATTTCTCGATTTCTCAATTTTTCCATTTCTCAAACTTTCAATGTTTGAGTTTCGGGATTTTTAAATTTTTAGATTTTTCGATTTTTTTACTTATTCGATTTTTCAGTTTTTTGATTTTTCGATTTGTTGAGGTTTTGATTACTCGATTTTTAAATTTTCAATTCTTCGAATTTTTAAATTTTAGATTTTCCAATTTTATAAAGTTTTGTTTTTTAATTTCGATTTCATTAATTTTTCGATTTAGAATTTTTCAAATCTTCATTTTTTTCTTGTTCCTTCAAGTGTGCGACATAGAACTCTTCGAGTTTTCATTTTTCTATTTTTTGTTTCCGTTTATTTTCTTTATTTTTTCAATTCAACTTTTCAGTGCTTGGAATTTGTTTTTTTTGTATTGTCAACTTAAATTTTTTGTATTTTTCATTTCTCAAATTTTTCGATTTGGAAATTTTTAAACTTTTCGATATAAATTTCTCGTGTTTTCAATTTTTAATTTTAAAACTGAAAAACAAAACTATAAAATCCTAACAGAAAACTCGAAAAATTGTAAGAATAAAGAAAATTAAAAAACGAATCGATTTTTCCATTTTTTGACTTTCCATCTGTCTGATTTCTCGATTTCTCAATTTTTCCATTTCTCAAACTTTCAATGTTTAAGTTTCGGGAGTTTTCAAGATGTGTTTCGATTTTTAAATGTTTAGATTTTTCGACTTTTTTTTATTTTTTACTTATTCGATTTTTCAGTTTTTTGATTTTTCGATTTGTTGATGTTTTGATTGGTCGATTTTTTAAATTTTCAATTTTTTGGAATTAATTTTTCAGTTTTTCGATATTTCGATTAACGGTTTTCTTTCGATTTTTCGCCTTCTCGTTTTTAGATTTTCCGGGTTTTTACTTTTTCGGTTTATCGGTTTTTTAAATTCAAATTTTTCAATTTCGAATTTTCCCATTTTTCGATTTTTAGCCACTTCCATTTCTCAATTTTTCGATTTTTCGACTTCTCGATCTCTTGATGTTTCGATATCGCGATTTTTCAATTTTTCGATTTCGATTTTCCAATTTTTCAATGTTTCAGTTTTTGGGATTCATGTATTAAAAATTTTCCATTTTTGGTGTTTCTAAATCTTTGGATTTTTCGATTTCTCAATTTCGCGATTAATCGACTTTTCGAGTTTTCATCTTTCATATTTCTCGATTTCCCAATTTTTAGATTTCTCAAATTTTCAATGTTTAAGTTTGACTTTGTTTTTTTTTTTTATTTTTACTTGTTCGATTTTTCAAAATCTTGTGACTCTTTAAATCTTAGATTTTTCGTTTTTTCAGTTCTTCGATTATTCGCGTTTTCAATTTTATAAAGTTTTGTTTTTTTAATTTCGATTTCCTTAATTTTTCGATGTAGAATTTTTCAAATTTTTTTCTTGTTCCTTCAAGTCGAGTTATCATTTTTAAACTTTTCTCTTTTTCAATTTTTCGTTTCCGTTTATTTTCTTTATTTTTTCAATTCAACTTTTCAGTGTTTAGAATTTGTTTTTTTTTTTCATATTTTTAATTTAAATTTTTTGTATTTTTCATTTTTCCAATTTTTCGATTTGGAAATTTTTAAACTTTTCAATATAAATTTCTCGGGTTTTCAATGTTTAATTTTAAAATTGAAAAAATCGAAATTGAAAACACAAAACTTTATAAAATCCAAACAGAAAATTCGAAAAACTGTAAGAATAAAGAAAATTCAAAACCGAAACGAAAATCTGAAGAATTGAACGAACGAAAAACGAAAAATTGCGATATAAAATCGAGAAAATGAAAATTAAAAATAGAGCAAATGAAAAATAAAAAATTCAAGTATCGAAAAACTTCAAATCGAACAATTGAAGAAACTAAAAATTGAAAAACCAAAGTTGCAAAAACGAAATTTTGATATCAAAAAATTCCAAAAAAATTTTGAATTTTCCCATTTTTCAATTTTCAGCCACTTCCATTTCTCAATTTTTCAATTTTTCGACTTCTCAATCTTTTGATGTTTCGATTTCGCGATTTTTCGATTTTCCAATTTTTCAGCGTTTAAGTTTTAGGATTTAAATTTTTGGATATTTCGATTTTTCATATTTCGGATTTTTCAATATGTATTTGGTTTTTTAAATTTTTAGATTTTTCGACTTGCTTTTTTTTTTTATTTTTTACTTATTCGATTTTTCAAAATATTGCGACTTTTTATCTTTCATTTTGCGATTTTTCAGCTTTTTGATTTTCAAATTTTAGATTTTTCACTTTTTGTTGTTTCGATTTCTCAATATTCCGATTTTTTGCTTTCTGGTTTTTCGATTTTTCAATTTTTCAGTTTTGCGATATTTCGATTTTCCAATTATTTATCGGGTTTTTTGAGTTTAAATTTTGAATTTTCCCATTTTTCGATGTTACAGTTATGGGATTTATATATTTAAATTTTTGGATTTTTTAATTTTTCAATTTTTGCCGTTTTTAAATTTTTAAATTTTTCGTTTTTTTAATTTCTGGATTAATCGATTTTTTAATTTTTAGACTTTCTGATCTTTAGATTTTTTACTTGCTCACTTTTTCAAAATTATGCGAATTTTTAAATCTTAGATTTTTCAACATTTTCATCTATTCGATATTTTAATTTTTGGATTTTTTAGATTTTTAAAATTCCTGATTATGATCACTATATGCTTAACATCAATTGTTTATGTATATACATCGAAAGAATGCGACAATTAAGCACGCAGAAACTCTCCTCAAAACAGATGAAGCGATTAAAATTATTAATGAGGCTACAATGAGTGTTTATGAAATTATGGGAACCCGCTGAGAGAAGGCAGAGGAGCTTAATACCCCTCGCTGTTATGGCGACAATACTTTTGCTTACACCGTTTCCAGCGGTTACTAAGATTTTATTGCCGAAAAAAATAATTCTTTCGTTCACCGTGACCCGGGCACCCCCCACCCTCTAATTCTCTTCTCTGTCCAGAACAACGAGTACATCCAGTCCGTCGGCCGCTGCCTCCAGATGATGCTCCGCATCGACGAGTACCGCTTCGCCTTCGTCTCCGTGGACGGCATCTCCACCCTCCTCTCGGTCCTCTCCGGCCGCGTCAACTTCCAGGTCCAATACCAACTCATCTTCTGCCTCTGGGTGCTCACCTTCAACCCGCTCCTCGCCGAGAAGATGAACAAATTCAACGTAATCCCGATCCTGGCCGACATCCTCAGCGACTCCGTCAAGGAGAAGGTCACCAGGATCATCCTGGCCGTGTTCAGGAACCTGATCGAAAAACCCGAGGACTCGCAAGTCGCCAAAGAGCACTGCATCGCGATGGTGCAGTGCAAGGTGCTGAAGCAGCTGAACATCCTCGAGCAGCGCAAATTCGACGACGAAGACGTGGCTCAAGACATCGAGTTCCTGACCGAGAAACTGCAGAACTCGGTGCAGGATTTGAGCTCGTTCGACGAGTACGCGACTGAGGTCAAGTCGGGCAGGTTGGAGTGGTCGCCGGTGCACAAGAGCAAATTCTGGAGGGAAAACGCGCAGCGGCTCAACGAAAAGAATTACGAGTTGTTGAGGATTTTGATTCATTTGTTGGAGCAGAGTAAGGATCCGTTGGTCTTGAGCGTAGCGAGTTATGATATAGGGGAGTACGTGAGGCACTACCCGAGGGGAAAACAGTAAGTTTACCGAACAGATGGAGTTGTATGATTTCGTTATAATGCGGTTTTTGTTAGCGTTATTGAACAGCTAGGTGGGAAACAACTGGTGATGCAGCTGTTAGCCCATGAAGACCCCAACGTCCGCTATGAAGCTTTATTGGCAGTCCAGAAATTGATGGTTCATAATTGGGAGTATCTGGGACGGCAGTTAGAGAAAGAACAGAGTGACAATAAGTCCGCCCCCAAAGGCGGCGTTGCTGTACCAGGCAAAGCATAAGTATAAAAATAAAACGTATATTTATAGATGCGAGTTCGCCTTTTACTGTTATAATATTTAATAAATCAGACTTATTGTTTCAAGTTTTTTGATGTAAATAACTGTATAGTTAACATTCCTAAGAGCTTGTTTGGTTTTTCGTGGTACATAGCGATTTTAGTATTATATTTTATTGTAAATATTGTTCATTTGAAATGTTTAAAGGTGTATTAATAAAATTATGTGATTAGAAAGTTTTATTGGCGGAAATTACAGTCTGGCGGTTACGTGGACGACGTCCCCTACGGCTGCCACCACTTCGATTTCCACGTTTGCGTTTAGCGGGAGTTTGGCAACTTGGACGGCGGAGCGCGCGGGGAAGTTGCTTTTAAAAACTAGAACAAAAGTTGTGTGGGACATTCTGTATATTTAAATTTGACAAGACGCCTCCTTAAGTTAAAAAATTTAAGACTTACACTCTTGGTAAACCTCGTTAACAGCTACGAAGTCGTCCATGTTGGCCAAAAACACGGTACTTTTAACGACGTTTTCGTACGAAGAACCGGCATCTTCTAAAATATTTCCCAACCAGGTTAAGGCTTGTCTAGCTTCGGCAGCTGCCCCCCCTTTAACCAACTGCATTGTGTCTTTGTCCAGACCTATCACCCCTGAGACATACAAGGTCTTGTCTAGTTGCACAGCCTGACTATAAAAATTTGTTAAATTTTGTTTATAACGAATTTATTAAATACTAACTTGTAGGGAGCTAGAGGTTTTGGTGCCCTAGAAGTGTTAATGACCTTCCTAATTAGAGACATTTTGCTTAGGAACTACTTCTATGTGCTAACTGGTCAAAGTTCTAGGTCTGACTGAAAAAATAAATATTGCGCTATTGACTAAATAGTGATAATGCGGTTTCCTAATGTTACGTAACGCGTGATAAAGGGTCATTAAAAAACAATTTCCTAACATCATATTTATTTCATATATAACTTTTAAGTTGCATCAGCTTTTCTTGTTCTAACCCTTCAACAAAACTCTTCACCCTTTCATTTTTAATAATTTTAACATTGTTCTTTTTCAGATCATTGTAACACCTTTGATACTTAAAAACGCACGCCAATAAATGCCAGATACAAAACTCCGGCCATAACACCTCCGTAAAACAAATATAACTATTAGAAATCTGCCACAACAAATAATCACTAAACCTAACCTCCCCCGACGTGCGCACGATTATATCCGGATCCTGCCTATCCCCAGTATACAAACACCTCGAAATCAAATCCTCATCAACATCGTCCGCCTCGATGGCCCCCTTTTCCACCCCTTCCACCACCTTCCTCGCCGTATTCACCATCTCGTCCCGCGCTGTATACGCGAACGCCACGTTCAAAAATGCCCTGTTGTTGTCCTTCGTCATAAGCACAGCCTCTGCTATTAGTTTCCGCAGCTCCTGCGACAACAACGACATGTTCCCGATTATCCGAATGCACACCCCCTCAGCCATAATTTTCTCCCTTTCGTCCAACAACTTCTGGAACTTCTCGGTGGCCAGCTTCATCAAAGTGTCCACTTCACTTTGGCTGCGCTTGAAATTCTCGATGCTGAAGGCGTAGACCGTGACTTCGGGGATGCCGAGCTCGAGACACCACTGCAGGGCTTCGGCCAGCTTGTCAAAGCCTCTGGTGTGCCCCTCAGCCTTTTCGACTTTAGCTTTGGTGGCGTAGCGCCGGTTGCCGTCCATGATGATGGCGATGTGCTTGGGGATGGGGCCGCATTTTATCACGTTAACGCAGAACTGCTGCAAGTACGTGAGAGGGGAGTTGGCGATCCAAGACATGGCACTGGGGTTTTAAATTGACAATCATAACCTCAAAAATTGTGACACGTACAAATGACAGATCTGGAAGTGGCTCAACTACCTTTCACACTACATGTATTGCTGACGAAATTTATTAATAGTTAATAACAAAACTGGTGCTGGGGGTGTCAACAAGTATTAACAATGCACGACAAAACCACCAAAGGGGCTTCTACGATGCGTTTTAATTTCCTTGGCGCGCTTTTTTGAACGCAATTCAGCTGTGTCTCAAGTTGCGCCGCAACAACAACAATAACAACAACCTGTGCCGAAATTAGATAGCGTTAATTTTTAATGTTTGGTGTCCTAAATCCCACACACTGGCCCCAAAACCTCTAATCGATAAGGTACACTTGATTCTGGAGCGACAACGTTGTTATGCAGTCACCCCCCGAAACAAAACACCATCAACATTTCGAAAAAAAATGACATTTGTGTTAAAATTGTCAATCATTAAAATTCGGCACAAAAAATTCTCTGATGAAAGATTATGAATACTACGACTTTGCGGGGAATTTTTCCCGAAGCAAGTAAGTAGCTCCAACCCATTTTCCCAACTTTTCGAACTGTGATTGCAGAACGTGCACACGCTAGAAATTTCGTTCGCGAGAACATCAGACAGTTGAAGGAGATGCAGGGGTACATGAACGACTCGAAGGTCTCGTCAAAATCCCAAATTATTAAGCCTGATAAATTCAAACACGTGGCGCCGAGGGTGTACTCATACATGAACACCACTAGAAGAAAAACGTCCAAGGACCTGATTGGGAAGAAAGCCGTGTCGTATAACCAGATAAAGGGGTTGAAGTCGCCTCTGCTGAAAGCCAAGCTGGGTAGTCGGATTAAGAACATGAGCAAGGCGGTGCAGACTGAGAGACCTGAGGATTTACCCAAGTTGTACGAAACGGGGACTTTGAAGTACCCCAGTCCCGGGATCATGCCGCAGTCCAAGCCGCCGACGCAGCGCACGCGGGACCACGGAGACGTTCTGGCCAAAAGCATGCATAAATTAGGTGCGCTGTAATTCTCGCTCGGTTAGAAAATGACAATTCGTTTCAGAATTAGAAGAAAAACACAATTACGTTAGGGAGAATATCAAAAACGTTAAAGGGAACAAAACCAAGTTTGAGGCTCCGCAGCCACGTGTGCCTGCGGCGGGGCAGCCAAAAGGGGTCGTCCCTAAAAATACAAAAGACCAGAAAGAGGGAAAGGATGAGCTGTCCAAGCCCGTGGATTTTGAAGTGGATATCGTGTCAGGCCTCGTCCTACTCCCTGACGAGGAACGAAAGGAGTACCTTCGCGTGGCCCGTGAAAGTAAAATCGCACAATTTTATCAACTCTGGTTTATTAATCCGTTCCAGATTACGCCGCGCTGATCAAGGAACTCAACACCATGCCAATGAGCAACGACACGCTAAAAAAGCGCAAACGAAAAATGGAAATCGAAGACGAACTCAGACGCTTAGAGGAAGTCATCAAAATTTTCCAAAAACCCAAAGTTTTTGTAAAAGCTGACGCATGATTTTGTACTTTGTAAATATTGTGCATGTTATAGTTCAATTTATTCAGTTTTCTTAACAGTTCTTGCGTCTTCAATCACCTTGTGTATAAAAAATTCTCTGATAAATTCGAGTTGGTTTGCTCTGAATTTTGGCTCCTCTTCTTGGTACCAATTTTCTATGTCAAAGTGTGGGAAAAACAGGCCGACTTCTTTGCGAACGGACTCTGGAGAATCTGAAAGAGAGCATCAAAAAAGAAACACAGTTGGAAGTGACCACCTGAGCCATGTGTGGCGTTTCTGGTGTCTGATAAGCCAAACTGTCCTCTGATTGAGTCGGGGGCTTCAAATTGCGTCTTGAACACCTTCGTGGGGCCCATTAACTTCCGCCACTCCTTAATAGCGTCGTCTCTGGCTAAAATGTAGAAATCAGAAGGCCCACTAGAAGGGGGAGTTTAATCCACAAATCGCATTTGTGTTCACCGTACCTGGTCATAAAAGTGACCAATCTGTTATAGAAAAACTTGTTCCTGTGTTCCTCGTAGAACAACTCGGCTTCTTTCAACGTGAACGCGTGTCGTCGCGTTTTCACCACTTTGAAATTTGAGGTTAGGATCATGTCTCTGATTGTTTCTAAGACCAGGGGTTGCTTAACCACGTGAGGTTTAATTATGGCGAAGGTTAGTTGCAAAGGGCGCATTTTGTATCTATATGTAGACACTTTTGTCCAAAATTCGCCCTATAATTTAAATTTTAAAAGTGTGACAACATAACCTCAAACCACGATTTGTGCTAAGGTAGGCAACACGTTATACAACTGTGTTTTAATGCTGTCTATTCAACAACACATTTCTAGTTTTTATTAAAATTACTACTTTTAAAAGTTTTCTCTACTTTGTACTTTCTTCTTTATATTTTGCTGTATTTTATCATACGTTGCCTTCTTTTCACAACAAGAAACATACAAGATGTTCAAAATGGTAAATTTTGGTAGGGAAATATGTATTTTGCAATTACGCTCCGCCCCTCGGTCTAACAACGAATGAAACATTCATCACAATTGAAATCGGGACGGGTGGGTGGTGCTTAATCGTTTTTCTCTGAACAATACCATAGTTAAACTTGTTTTTAGTTTCTTGTTGGTAAAAAACGACTTCGTATATTAAAAACAAATGGACAAAATATATGCCCCGCCCATGGTAGAAGGAGACATGGTATAGGCATACGCATCGGGTGTGACGTCAAGTGGGGTGAAATTAGCGCGAAATTTAAAATACAATTCGTTATCCGACAACTAATTGACGTATTGGACAGAGCAATGACAACTCAAGCTGAAATTCCCTAGACTTCCCTAGCGAAGCTCACAAGAGTCACAAGGTCGTTGATGCCACCTAACGTCACAAATGGATGCGCAGACCATTTTTAAATTGGTACATCGGATGCCTATACCATGTCTCCTTCTACCATGGCCCCGCCCACCCGCCCCATCTCAATTGTGATGATTTTTTTATTCATTGTGAGCCGACGGACGAAGATTAGTTGCAAAATCCTCATTTCTCCACCAGACATTACGATGTGAAATATGTTTTAAAAGGGTAAAATTTTGTAGAGGAATATGGTTTTTGCAATTAAACTCCGCCCCTCAATCTAATTACGAATGAAAAACTTATCACAACTGAGATCGGGACGAGTAGGTGGGGCTAAACCTTTAGTTTATTGTTTTACTCAAAAGCGTAGTTTTCTTTAAAGAACACGATTGCTTAAGAACATGTTTCACATGGCATTTTTTACAAAAAATAAGCATTTTCCAATTAAAGTTCGCCTCTCAGCTCACGACGAATTAAAAAAATCGTCACAATTGAGACAGGGGTGGGAGGGCGGGGCTTATATTTTGCTATGGAAATATTTATTTTGCAATTATGCTCCGCCCCTCAGTCTAACAACCAATGAAAAATTCATGACAATTGAGATCGGGACGGGTGGGTTGTGCTTAATCTTGTTTTTCCCTTAATGTATATGTTTTCTTTGAACAACACGATAGTAAAACTTGTTTTCAGTTTCTTGTCGAGAAAAAAGGACTTCGTATATTAAGAAAAAATGGACAAAATATAAGCCCCGCCCACCCGCCCCCTCTTAATTGTAATGATTTTTTTTATTCATTCTGAGACGAGGGGCGAAGATTAGTTGAAAAATCCTCATTTCTCCACAAGAAATTACCATGTGAAATATGTTTAAAAAGAGTAAAATTTTGTAGAGAAATATGGATTTTGCAAGTAAACTCCGCCCCTTAGTCTAATTACGAATGAAAGACTCATCACAATTAGATCGGGGCGGGTGGGTGGCGCTTGATCTTTGTATCTTTTGACTCAAAGCGTAGTTTATTTTAAAGAACACGATTACTTAAGAACATGTTTCACATTGCATTTTTTTTATAAAAAAAAAACATGTTTACAATTAAGCTTCGTCTCGCGGCTCACAATGAATAAAAAAATCGTCACAATTGAAACAGGGTGGGTGGGCGGGGTTTATGTTATGCTTTTTTTAATCAAACGTTGCCTTCTTATCACAAGAAGAAACTTAAAACATGTTCAAAATATACAATTTTTGTAGGGAAATATGTATTTTGCAATTATGCTCCGCCCCTCGGTCTAACAGCGAATGGAAAATTCATCATAATTGAGATCGGGACGGGTGGGTTGTGCTTAATCTTTTTTTTCCCTTAATATATATGTTTTCATTGAACAACACGTTTTCAGTTTCTTGTTGGGAAAAAAAGACTTCGTATATTAAGAACAAATGGACAAAATATAAGCCCCTCCCACCCACCCCCTCCCAATTGTGATGATTTTTTTATTCATTCTAAGTCGAGGGGCGAAGATTAGTTGCAAAATCCTCATTTCTCTACAAGAAATTACCAAGTGAAATATGTTTAAAAAGGGTAAAATTTTGTAGAAAAATATGGATTTTGCAATTAAACTCCGCCCCTCAGTCTAATTACGAATGAAACACTCATCACAATTAGATCGGGGCAGGTGGGTGGGGCTTGATCTTTGTCTTTTTTTACTTAAAGCGTAGTTTTCTTTAAAGAAGACGATTACTTAAGAACATGTTTCACATAGCATCTTTTACAAAAAAATAAGCATTTTGCAATTAGTGTTCGCCTCTCGGCTCACGACGAATAAAAAAAATCATCACAATTGAGACAGGGGTGGGCGGGCGGGGTTTATATTTTGCTATGGAAATATGTATTTTGCAATTATGCTCCGCCCCTCAGTCTAACAACGAATGGAAATTTCATTACAATTGAGATCGGGACGGATGGGTTGTGCTTAATCTTGTTTTTCCCTTAATTTATATGTTTTCTTTGAACGACACGATAATTAAACTTGTTTTTAGTTTCTTGTTGGGAAAAAAGACTTAGTACATTAAGAAAAACTGGAGAAAATATAAGCCCCGCCCACCCGCCCCTTCTCAATTGTGACGATTTTTTTATGCATTGTGAGCCGAGGAGCGAAAATTAGTTGCAAAATCCTCATTTCTCCACAAGAAATTACTATTTGAAATATGTTTTAAAAGGGTAAAATTTTGTAGAGGAATATGGTTTTTGCAATTAGACTCCGCCCCTCAGTCTAATTACGAATGAAAAACTCATCACAATTAGATCGGGTCGGGTGGGTGGGGCTTAATCTTTAGTCTTTTTTTTTAATCAAAGCATAGTTTTCTTTAAAGAACACGATTACTTAAGGACATGTTTAACATAACCATTTTCTTCTAAAAAAAAAACATTTTGCGATTAAGCTTTGCCTACCGGCACACGACTAATAAAAAAAAATCATCACACTCGAGATAGGGTGGGTGGGCGGGGTTTATATGTATTTTGTTTTTTTTTTATCATACGTTGCCTTGTTTTCATATTAAGAAACTTAAAACATGTTCAAAATGTAAAATTTTGCTAGGTAAATCTGCATTATGCAATTACGCTCCGCCCCTCGGTCTAACAACGAATGAAAAATTCATCACAATTTAGCTCGGGACGGGTGGGTGGTGCTTAATTTTTTTTTTAATACATAGTTTTCTTTGAACAATACGATAGTTAAATTTGTTTTCAGTTTCTTGTTGGGAAAAAGACTTCGTATATTAAGAATAAATGGACAAAGTATAAGCCCCTCCCACCCGCCCCTTCTCAATTGTGACAATTTTTTATGCATTGTGAGCCGAGGAGCGAAAATTAGTTGCTAAATCCTCATTTCTCCACAAGAAATTACCATGTGAAATACGTTTTAAAACGGTAAAATTTTGTAGAGAAATATGGATTTTGCAATTAAACTCCACCCCTCAGTCTAATTACGAATGAAAAACTCATCACTATTAGATCGGGTCGGGTGGGTGCGGCTTAATCTTTTTCTTTTTTTTACTCAAAACGTAGTTTTCGATTACGTAGGAACATGTTTGTTCTTATAAAAAATAAACATTTTGCAATGAATTAAATTCATCTCCCGGCATACGACGAATAAAAAAAAATCATCACACTCGAGATAGGGTGGGTGGGCGGGGTTTATATTTTGCTTTTTTATCATATGTTGCCTTCTTTTCACAATAAGAAACTTAAAACATGCTCAAAATGTAAAATTTTGCTAGGTAAATCTGCATAATGCAATTGCGCTCTGCCCCTTGCTCTAACAACGAATGAAAAATTCATCACAATTTAGATCGGGACGGGTGGGTGGTGCTTAATTTTTTTTTAATATATAGTTTTCTTTGAACAATACGATAGTTAAATTTGTTTTCAGTTTCTTGTTGGGAAAAAGACTTCGTATATTAAGAAAAAAAAAAATGGACAAAATATAAGCCCCGCCCACCCACCCCTTCTCAATTGTGATGATTTTTTTCTTCATTCTAAGCCGAGGGGCAAAGATTAGTTGTAAAATTCTCATTTCTCCACAAAAAATTACCATGTGAAAATGTTTGAAAAAGGTAAAATTTTGTGGAGGAATATGGTTTTTGCAATTAAACTCCGCCCCTCAGTCTAATTACGAATGAAAAACCCATCACAACTGAGATCGGAGCGAGTGGGTGGGGCTTAGTCTTAGTCTTTTTTTACTCAGAAAGTAGTTTTCTTTAAAGGACACGATTACTCAAGAACATGTTTCTTCTTATAAAAAATAAACATTTTGCAATGAATTAATTTCGTCTCCCGGCATACGACAAATAAAAAAAAATCATCACACTCGAGATAGGGTGGGTGGGCGGGGTTTATATTTTGCTTTTTCTTGCCTTCTTTTCACAAAAAGAAACTTAAAACATGTTCAAAATGTAAAATTTTGCCAGGTAAATCTGCATGACGCAATTACGGTCTAACAACGAATGAAAAATTCATTACAATTTAGATCGGGACGGGTGGGTCCTGCTTAACCTTTTTTTTTTAATATATAGTTTTCTTTGAACAACACGACAGTTAAACTTGTTTTCAGTTTCTTGTTGGGAAAAAAAGACTTCGTAGATTAAGAACAAATGGACAAAATATACGCCCCGCCCACCCACCCCTTCTCAATTGTAATGATTTTTTCATTCATTCTGAGCCGAGGGGCGAAGATTAGTTGCAAAATCATCATTTCTCCACAAGAAATTACCATGTGAAATATGTTTGAAAAGGGTAAAATTTTCTAGAGAAATATGGATTTTGCAATTAAACTCCGCCTCTCAGTCTAATTACGAATGAAAAATTTATCACAATTGAAATCGGGGCGGGTGGGTGGGGCTTAATCTTTGTCTTTTTTTTTTACTTAAAACGTAGTTTTCTTCAAAGGACACGATTACTTAAGAACATGTTTCTTCTTATAAAAAATAAACATTTTGCAATTAATTAAATTCATCTCCCGGCATACGACGAATAAAAAAAATCACCACAATAGAGACAGGGTGGGTGGGCGGGGTTTATATTTTGCTTTTTTTTTAATAATACGTTGCCTTCTTTTCACAATAAGAAACTTAAAACATGTTCAAAATGCAAAATTTTGGCAGAGAAATATATATTTTGCAATTAAGCTCCGCCCCTCGGTCCAACAACCAATGAAAAATTCATGACAATTGAGATCTCGACGGGCGGGTCGTCCTTAACCTTATTTTTTAAATATCCGACTGCATCAATTTTTCAAAAATCAAGTCGCCTCTCATCACTGTCAAAAAACTCCAAAAATGGACTTCACACTCTTCGAGAAGCACAGCAGCCGCAGCTTCGCCAAGCCGCGCAATTCGAAGACCTTCGCCTCTAAGGAACTGTAAGCCCCCAACCGCCCCCAACAATCACCCATCTGTCCTTTCCAGCCTCGCCTTGCTGGAGCCGGACGAGCCCGACCCGGTCCACATCGCCAGCAGCATCATGACCGAAATCCTGGACACCACCCTCGAGAAAATCTACGAGCGCGACATGGAGCGCCAGACCATCAAGTTCGTGGTCCACTGCGCCCACCAAGCCCTCTTGAAGGCCCTGCGCATCCACTTCTACCAGCACAACGACTACATCCGCACCGACCAGTTCTGGGGCTCCGACAAGCACCTGGCGCCGTCGTCGCCCGACTCGTGGTCCTTCCACCAGGTGCCGCTGATGCCGGTGTCCAAGTACATGTCGCCCACCGAGCTAGAGCTGAACACTCTGAGCCTGATCAAGCTGCAGGTGGAGGACAAGGGCGGAGTGCTCGTGATGGGCGACGCCGCCGACACGGAGAGCTTGCCCCCGGGCTTGCTGGAGGACGTGAGGGCCCTCATCGACGAGATGATCGACAACGTGCCGATCTCCGACGACGAGGAGACGCCGCCGAGCGTGTCCGAGATCAGCGCGTTCACGCTGGTGGTCGAGGGGATGGAGCACTACAGTAAATTTAAGATGAGGCCCCAGGTGTCGCGGCTGTCGCTGGGGCCGTCGTTGTCGTCCAGGTTGCCCAGGATCGACGTGCCGGAGTCGGGGGCGTCGAGGAAGATCCAAAGCTCGACGGAGCTGACGGGGGAGGCCATGCAGAAGCTGCCCCCTATTAGGTGGGATAATTTGGTCATTTATGTACTTAGCGAAAGTTTAACGTGACGTCATCAAGTTTGAGGCGGGGTGATATTCAACTATAAATGAGAAAATAAATTAATAAAGCGACCGCTCGCCAAAAATCCGAGCACGTTGCTCCCAGTTTTCAAAAAAAAAAATTGGTCTAAAGAGTTTAGACAGTACTTCCCTCGCTGTCGGAAACTTGACGACTACATGCCTATTGTGTTTTTTTTTCTCATTACATTTTTGTAGTGGGAATTTAAAAAAAAATTGCGATGACGTCATCAACATTTTTGCAAGGACACGTATATCAGTTGGGATATATGTAATGTAATACTAAGAATAAAATTATTATATTCTCAAATTTTCGGGAAAATGAATTGGGTCGTTTTGAATATTGATTTGTAATAATCAATAAAATAACGAAACAATTTACTCACGTATACGTATCAGAGGCAACTGAAAATCGTGTATGTATAAACATTCTTAATTTAAGATGACAGGCGTAACAGCATACGTGAGAGTCAAACAGAGAAACTGTAAACAAAACGACCATCGGTTTTATTGCTTCGACTTCCGCTTATTATATAAAACATTGGGTTTTATTTTAATTCTTGACGCGTGAAATTCACAATTGGTTGATTATAAACATGTCTATTTCACATTCGCGGAACCAAGTGAGCGCATAAAACAAATGCAGGTCTGTAATGTTAAAGTCGATGTAAATAAGCGTGCTACCCTTATGTTTCAACCGAGTTTTTCCTTTAACAAATTTTGTGTCTACCAAATTGGGTTGGTTGGGGTGTAATACTAATAATAAGTGTTGCCTTTAATTTAATCAATAAAATAAATTGACTTCATTAATTTTTTTGAACCACCTCTTAAGAAAATCTAAAAAATATGAATGGAATGATACATCACAAGTACAAACTCATCATATTTTTTGCATTTTAGATAGGATTTATTCAGCAAAATTTAAGGGTGACGTCATCAATTTTTTAAGGAGGGATGAACAAATACATTTTGAACAAAAGTTTACCATGCTTATAATAACTTTAAAATATTCCCAAGATTTCAAAGCATTCGGTTTTGTAATTCCTGATTAAATCGATAAAATAAATTCACGCCTTCATTAATTTTTTTGAGTCACCCTGCATATGCAAATCCAAAAATATGAATGGAATGATAAATCACAAGTACAGACTCATCATATTTTGTACATTTTAGATACGATTTATTCGGCAAACCTTTGAGCTGACGTCATCAGTTTTTTGTAGAAGATAACCAAATATATTTTGACTAAAAATTTATTATGCTCTTTATAACCTTAAAACATCTGCAAGATTTCAAAGCATTCGGTTTTGTAGTTCCTGATTAAATCAATAAAATAAATTTACACATTCATTAATTTTTTTGAGTCACCCTGTATATGCAAATCGAAAAAATTTGAATGGAATGATAAATCACAAGAAGAGACTCACCATATTTTGTACATTTTAGATAGGATTTTTTCAGCAAAATTTTGTGGTGACATCATAAATTTTTTAGGGGGGACGACCAAATACGTTTTGATCAAACATTTACCATGCTTATGATAATTTTAAAATATCTTCAAGATTTCGAAGCATTCGGTTTTGTAGTTCCTGAGTAAATCAGTAAAATAAATTTACGCTTTCATTTATTTTCTTGAATCACCATGTATATGCAAATCCAAAAAATATGAATGGAGTGATAGATCACAAGTACAGATTGATCATATTTTGTACATTTTAGATATGATTTATTCGGCAAATTTTCGGGCTGACGTCATCAAGTTTTTGGAGGGGATAAGCAAATATATTTTGACTAAACATTTATTATGCTCTTTATAACCTTAAAACATCTGCAAGATGTCAGAGCATTCCGTTTTGTAGTTCCTGATTAAATCAATAAAATATATTTACGCATTTATTAATTTTTTTGAGTCACTCTGTATATGCAAATCCAAAAAATATGAATGGAGTGATAAATGACAAGTACAGGCTCATCATATTTTGTACATTTTAGATATGATTTATTCGGCAAACTTTCGAGCTGACGTCATCAAGTTTTTGGAGGGGATAAGCAAATATATTTTGACTAAACATTTATTATGCTCTTTATGACCTTAAAACATCTGCAAGATTTCAGAGCATTCGGTTTTGTAGTTCCTGATTAAATCAATAAAATATATTTACGTATTCATTAATTTTTTTGAGTCACCCTGTATATGCAAATCCAAAAAATATTAATGGAGTGATAGATCACAAGTACAGACTCATCATATTTTGTACATTTTAGATATGATTTATTCCACAAACTTTTGAGCTGACGTCATCAAGTTTTTGGAGGGGATAAGCAAATATTTTTTGACTAAAGATTTATGATGCTCTTTATAGCCTTAAAACATCTGCAACATTTCAAAGCATTCTGGTTAGCAGATTAAAAATTAAATTTCAAAATGTTTTATAATTTTGATTTTTTTTTCCAAAAATCTGGACGTTTCAGGTGAAAAGTCGATTCAGAGTTGTAAACTACATGTGTAGGACTATGTTATTTTATACAATTGAAAACCCATTTACTATGTACAGTTTTGAAGTGACGTCATCGCATTAGTGGTGGGGATGATTAGACAAATTTTGGTTAGCGTTTTACCATCTACATGATATTGTTAATATAAGTACAAAATTTCACAACAATCGGTCGAGTACTTTCGGAGATTATCTGTCTAATAAAAATCCGGGGGCAGACGGACAGACGGACAGACGGACGGACAGACGGACGGACAGACGGACGGACAGACGGACAGACAGACGGAAATGGGAGACCTATTTCTTCGTCTTCTAGGGGTCATGAAAGATCGAGAAAACGTAAAAGTAGAGAGTCGGCCGACGGACTCGATTACAATACTTCCTTTGCTTACGCTCGGGAAGTAAAAAAATCCAATTTGCATTGTCACAGCCGATCTAACTTTTCGCCAGACTTTTCCCCGAATTCCGTCATAATTGACAGCCTCTAGGTAATTAATCTCAGACGTCGGTCGTTTCGAGCGCGACTCTTGTTCTTGGCACTGGGTCGAAATTTTATAATTTTTAATTCGCCAAAAATAATCCGTCACATTTTTCTGAGTAAATAAGCGCTCAATAAAGCGAATAACGGAGGCAGTGTAACACAGGTGCAATGCCCTCTGAAATGGTGCTGCATTGCCAATGTTATAAATATCCATATAAATTAAAAAGTACCCCACACGTTAATTTCTGAGAAAGTTCGAGCGTCAAAGCCTTGGCAACACCTTTAAATTGTGCTCTTTATACAATGTAAATACACTGATTTAATTTCTAATTTTGTTTTTTCATATTGTGAGGTGGGCTTGGACGCGTGCACTTCTTTGTTAGAGGATCGTGTTTGTGTTGTGCGATGGAAATAACGAGTCGGGGGTGGGCACGAACGTTGAACTGTGTCGTAACTTAATTGATATGGTTGTCGAAGTGTCAAGTGCTATAAATGCAAATATGAGGTTATGTAATATTTGTATTGGCAACTAGACGCACATGGGTCTATAAACTTGTGCGTTACACTTAAGGAGCGACCGCGAGCTTCGCTCCCGCGCCCTAGACCGCTCTGAATTTATGATGTTTGTTGTTGTCGTTGAATAATATGGCAAAAGTGGCAAATTATTTGGCCGGGTGTTAACAAGTAGCGGTGTTAAAATAGATCCATCAGCACTCAAACAATTTATTTACTAGTCAACACAACCTATAAATCGTGGATGAACTTCGTATGCCACTCGACTCCACGATAAGACTCTCAATTGAAAATTCAAAACGAACAGCGCTTCTTTGATATTCTAATAATAAATTGAAATGTGATAGTGTGAGGACTTGATGGAAATGACGAAGTACATCTGGATCGTAAACAACAACATTAACTAGATTTTCGAGTTTCAATTCAATTCAAGATATTCAATTTAGATGCGTAATTTTAAGATTTAGGATTTGAAATTTTGACTAATTGTCAAAACGCTATTGCTGTTTATAAATTCGCGTTCTGAATTTCAGTGTTAACATTTTAGGATTCAAAAATTTAAATTTCAGGATTTAGGATTTGTTGTTAAGTTCCATGTCGGGATTCTAACATGTAATAAATTTTACCAATTTTAGGAGTGTGGGATTATAGAATTTTTTAAATTCACGAAGATTTTAAGATTACTGACACAATTTTAGGAGTGTGGGATTCTAGAATTTTTTAATTTTAGGACAATTTCGACATTCTAAAATTTCAGGATTTTCATAATTTAAATAAAAATGTTATTATTTCGGAATTTCAGGATTTTAAGATTAGGTTCCTAAAACTATTTACGATCGCAGGCCACTGAATTTTTGAATTTAGAGTTTTAATGAACGAGTTAGATCGGACGACGATATTTAAAATTTCAGGACAGGACACAGAAATTTAGAATTTTGGGCATTTTGGAAATTCAGACTTGAGTTTCAAATTTTAAAATTAAAATCCAGTATTTAAATTTTTAGGATTCACAAAATTAAAATTTCCGTATTTTGGGTTTACTATGCAGCATCTAAAAATTCGAAACATAAGATTTAAAATTCCACATTTTGAAATGTCGGTATTTAAAATTTTACGATTTCGGATTAAATTCCAAAATTTAGGCTTTCGGGATTTTGGCATTTTATAATTTCCCACTTTTTGGAGTGAGGGATTTTAGAATTTTTAAATTTTAGGACTAGGCAAGATTTTAAAATTCAGGATTTTCATAATTAAAATGTTAGTACATACTTCGATATTTTTGGATTTTAAGATTACAGGTTTCGGGAATTCAGAATTTAGGCTTCTAGGATTTTAGAATTCCGGCTTTTAATGAACGGGTCAGATCGAACGAGGATTTTTAAAGTTTCAGGGCAAAACCTAGAAATTTGCAATTTTAGGAATTTAGCACTTTGGAATTTCAGATTTTGGAGTTTCA